AGGGTAGCAAAATTCAGCTGAACTAGCTCTGGTATAGGTTAAGGGTTCCAGAGTCCCAGCGGCACATCCCCACCCAGAAATTCCTAAAGTACCACCCCCGGGCTCGGCTGTAAGTTTCCTAATTGTTTTTCCTTTCATTTCTTCATTGAGATTAATCCTTTGCGATTTTGCCTTGAGCTTTCATGGTTCGTTGACTGGAAATTGTTATTGTTATTCAAAACTTCTCAAACAATGCAGATACAAACTCCTCTACTTATTATAAAAGATGCTGTGTCACGGCTATCTGGTTCATTTTGTTAATATTATTACGTGGTCCCTATTCGCTTTTAAGCGTTACGTTGGAAAAAAAATGAAGAAATGAAAGCTTCGTTTTAAACAGATGTTTCTCCCAAGCATATCAAGCGTTACGGACGAAAACAATGAACTTTGAAAAACTGTTAGGTTAACAAGCTTTCAAAAACCAAAATTTCAATCCGTTTTAATCTTCTTTATGTTTTCCCATCTGTACCTTCTTTTGTATTTGCTGAGTCATTTATACCATCTTTTGGCATCTTTTAATGTCTTAAGCGGTTATTTTTATGTTTCACTCAATTTGGTGGCAGTTCCCACAGCCTACGTTTTGGTAAATTTCATGACACAGCTCGTTTAACGTCTAGTGTTAAACCCATGTGGTTTCTGAAGTTCTATATTTCCTCATTCTTTAAGTGAGTCGGGCTATAAAATATAGCTCCTAGGAACTATTTTATGCAGTCTATTTATAACATCAGCTTGTGAAGGTTAAGGTATGTTGGCTGCTATTTTCAATTTTAAAAACTTATCATTGCAGATATTACTTTCAATGGAGATGGTACGGATTTCCTTTTACTTTATAGCAATGTGCTACTCCATCATCCATTTTGTACCCTGACTTTTTTATAAGTGGGTAGGGGTCATTATGTTTACTTATTGTCAAATATTTGTTGTATTTATATCTTGGTCTGTTATCATATTTGCCTTTTTGCTTTAGTAAATTTGTCAATATTAAGAAGTTGAAAATTCGAACGAAATATTAATAAAGTCAGTCAGGGAATTAAAAAGGTTTCCCCACCTGGGTGGGGGTTTTACCTGTCAATATGCCCCAGTAGGGTGGGAGTTTGCTAAGATTTGTAATGATGTCAAGTCAAATCCCCACCTTGGCCCGGGGTGGGGGGGGGGGGTCGGGGTTTCAATTGATAAGTGCATAACGTAAGCGAAATCTTTTCATTTTATATTCCATTTGGTCAAATTAAGATTTTACGCAAATTGAAAAGAGTTTGTCAGAGTTGTTTTTATTACGGCTCCATAAGGTAACAAGATCTTAAAACACGAAGATAATATAATTTTGTCTGCTGCAATATCATCTTGTAAATCATCTTCTCTGTGTTGACCAATATTGCAACCAAGGTCGGTTTGTTTACTCATTGATGACCTACTTTTCTTAGTACTCGTACAATGTCACAACATAAAAAAGTAAACAGGTCGAGTTTATCATTACAGATATTATATTAAGATATGAAATTTTCGTTTTTGTGCATGTCTTCTTGCTGGTTACCGATACCTATAGCTTGAGATATCTTGGAAAAAAATATTTTCAAGAAAAGTAATGAAATGTAATTAGAATGTACTTGATTTAAGGAGTTGAAAGGGTGAATAAACGTTTATGATACTTTAGGAACGGACAGCCTCTTGGTGAAAATCATTAAATTCTTATATTACTCTCAGTTAATCAGGGGCGGATCTAGGGGGAGGGTGCAGGGGGTGCGCACCCCCCCTGAGATGACCTTTGGTTTTCTGATACAACTGGTATTCTGCAAAAAAAAAAACTATGTGGTTTATTGGTGTTGAAGTAGAGCCAGAGACGAGTGCACCCCCTCCTAAAAAAAATCCTGGATCTGCCCCTGGTTGATGAATAAATTGCATGCAATATAAGTGACATTTTTACTCTCTATATCCATATTATTCACTGCAAACACGAAAGGTGAAAATGTGTCATATGTTTTCCCCTAGTCTGTTTCTTTTTGCCCTCTTTTTCAGCCGAATACAAGCAAAACCAGTCTTGTTATGAACACCTGTTATTAATATTATGAACAGCTCTGTATTGCAGCCAGTTAACTTGGTATAAGCTTCGTTTATTGACTGAGTTACTGGTCAGGCCAGATGGGGAAATATTTAATTGGCTCAAGGACAGTCTGTCCTGACCGAGAGCCAAGTATTCTCTCTCTCTGGCCGACCTAACTCAGTCAATAGGCATGTCGTCCTTTGACTGTTGTGTTCGTATATTTTTCCGATGGAGCAAACCTGTGTCGATGAATACATTTTTCTAGCAGGGCTGGATGTGCTTTCCCAGCCTTACCACTTAATGACGTGCATGTACCTCATACAAGACTTGTTTTTCAAGTGGTTTGTCAACGAAATCGTACTCAGGGCTGCACAGGTCACATAATAAAATATTATTCCTACCCCTATTCCAACCTCTTACCTCTGCTGTCTGGATTGACACTTGGCTCTTTCCTGTTGGTGTCCATTTTCATGAGGCCTGATCTGCAGTTATGGAAGTCACAATGACATTCATTGCAAAATAACTCTAATGTCAGTATCTCACAGAGGCCTTATTTCTGTGGTCTCAGTTGTTCAAACATTGGAGAGCACTATCCACTGGATAAATCACCATCCAGTGGATTTATTAGTAGTATTAGGAAAACCAATATTGTATTTATCCACCAAATATAGATTATCCAGTGGATAATATTATCCAGTTTTCAAACAGCTAGACCCTGTATTTTGGCCTTGGCAACTTGGCTGTTACAAAGGAGGGTAAAGGTCACTTGATACAGCTTGATACTTCTTTTGATTGGTTAATCCCCCCATTCCCCCCCCCCCCACACCCCACAATGTTGCACCACAAAAGAGCTTATTTGTACCCACCTTGCTTGTGACACCAAAAGAACTTACCATCTTGCTCATGAGTCAACATTATTTGGGGACAGGGAGGTAGCATAGTCAGTTCCACCAATGTCATGTTAGCTGTCCCATATCACTTTTAAACCCTACCCCCCTACAGATCAAATGAAATGATCCACTTAGTTACATGTGGTCTTAAAAGAGAAAAAACTTTGAGGATTGAAATTTCTAAGAACTCGATTAAATCATGCTTCTAAATACCTAAGGAGAACTTGTCCCTTCTTAGGGCGTGTTTACAAGGAGAGAGGGTTACCCTTGTGCGAGGGTTACCCTAGCAAGCAGGTTAAAGTTAGCTTTGGTTTACAAGCCAATTTTACAGGTAGGGTTACCCTATCACCCGGTCAACTTTACCAGCTTTACTGAAGTGGTGTGTCATGTGTGACATTCTTGGTAATGGCCAAGATTTGAAATGAAAGAAAGTTCTCTAAGGAAAACACATTAAATTAATGAAATAACGGGAAAATATTATCATCGTATACAGAAAATACCTTATATTATTCAGATGTTGATAATTTAGCTCAGAATTGGATAATATCCATTCAAATTGTTACGATTACTGGTCATACATGACAGAAGACAGTTGTCCTTGTAGGGTTCTATCTAGGGTATTTGAGAGGTGGAAACTTCTCCCCCCCAAAACATTGTTATCATTGTGGTATACAGTGTATTTAAGCAATAGAAAACGTTTTCCGTGTTTGCATAGCCTGATATAAACACAAGAGGGATTGGGAGAATTCGAGACTGTTATGCAAACCCGAGACGAAGTCGAGGGTTTGCATAACTGTTGAGAATTCTCCCAATGCCTTGAGTGTTTATATCAGGCTATGCAAACACAGGAAAAAAGTTTTCCATTGCTTTTATAACCTACCTTTCAAGAGAAAAAAACGTAAAACTCTTTGTATGGCACTGATTAAAAGAGAAATTCTTACCAGTCACAAAATCTTGTCCACGAAGTATTGCACGCGTAATCAGTTCTTGTTTTGCAAAAAGATGCTTTGCAAAATACGGATTTTTCGTGCTTAAGATGTCAGCTTAAGTGAAGAGAATTAAGTTGACTCACCTTTTTTGTAATGATTTTCCATGTTTCAGCCGACAAAGGAATGGGTAAAGCAAACTTGTCGAGTTTTGAACTCGAAAACTTTTTCGAACTTGTGCTTGCGTGATTAGTGTGCAAAAAGCCAAACAACTTGACGCGACAACCATGTTTACGTACTCTCATGCAAACACTCCTCTCGGCCAATCAGAGCGCGCGTACTATCTTAGTTATTTTATAAAGGTAAATATTTGGAAAAATCATCCAGATGCAACAAGGTCATTGCACACACTGTAACATTTCTCAAAATTGTGTCTCAAAATGCACTAGATTGCATCTCAGAGCATATTCATAGCAAAACATTTCCAGGGATGGGGGGCTTGCCCCCAAACCCGGCTAGGAAGCTTGTTGCCTTTGGCCACTTGGGAGGTGGAAACTTGTGCTAGGGTAACCCTACCATTCTTGTAGACATGTCATGTAAAAAAAAATGTGCGAGTGCTGGGTAACCCTCTTGTTAGGGTAACCCTAGCACCAGGGTTACCCTCCCTCCTTGTAAACAGGGCCTTAGAAAGAACTATTGTATGATTTTCATTCGTTCAGACCTCTAAATGTAGATTGTATAAATTAATATTATTACGATATATTTTACTATTGATATTTTGTTTTTTTCTGCTTTATAGGGCTTCTTGTTCTTCTTAGTCCACTTACAACAGCATCCAACAGGTTCTTTTTCAATGAAACATCAGTGATACAAGTTTCAAGTGCAGTAGTTCCTCTTACTAGTGGTTTTGATTTAACATTTAGAACTTGCAATGGTGGAGTTTTGCTCAGCCAAACGGGTACAAACAATGGTTTCTTCACCCTTGAAGTTGTGCCCACAGTGGTGAACTATTCACATACTCCTATATTATTTATTGCCAGTCACCTCAGAATGACTTGGGAGATAAGTGGTACAAGACAGTTTGTTACAGTAGGAACAAAGCTGGATCAGAATTTTAATTATAAAGTGGAATTTGTTGCTGGAAGTGGAGCCATAAATTCAACGCTTGCACTTACTGGTATATCATCTGTTGATGTTCCAAATAGTATTTTAGGATTTCGTAATTCTGGTCCGTTAAGGGCAGGTCAGCCCATCAGTGCAGGGCAAGGATTCGTTGGTTGCATTGGAAGTGGAACAAACATTCAACTCAGAGACAGTGGACCTGGGACGTTTCTTAACATTAAAAACTGTACTCTTGATAACCAGCAAGGATGCCCTGATAAAGGTTGGTGTCAGTGACAAATTTTTATTATTATTATTATTCATTCAAAATATTTCTATATCTGATTGGCAGAAATCCCCCAGCTAATTTTATTCTTCATATAAAGCAGCTGGCATTTTCCAAATTTGAAAGGTGTGAGCAACATACATTATACAGTTCCAGTTTCAGTTTCAGTTTGTTTATTTACCAGAAAAAAATACATAAACATACAGACATTCAATTTCTAATATGTTATTTAAAAATTAAACAGGCATAAATAGATTTATTGTAAGTTGTAAAAGGATTGAAAGTATTTTTCTGGTGAGGAAGCTAAAATAGAAACCTTGGGGCTTATTATATGAGCCCCTTCCTAAGACTAAATATTATGAATAAATAAGCAGCAAAATCATACTGAAATGTAATTAGGATAAAAAGCAAGCAAAACAAAACAGACAAAAAGCGGCAAAAATCAAGTACTATTTACAAGTGGTGAATCATAATAAAATAATAATGAGTCTTTATTTCATCAAAAGATAAAACTACGTATCTCATGTTACAATAATATGGTCCAAGATAAAAAACTATGATAAAAATATCTACATAATATATATATATTAAAAAAGTATGTCATTACAACAAATGGAGCTTAAAAATCAACCTATTTACAAAGGTATTCATAAAACGCTCTGTATTAATTTTCGGGCGTGCGCAGCCTTTTTTCCTAAGATTATGTACATAAGTCTTCTGGACAGGAATGATATCTTTCAGTGGGTGGCAATCGGTTGATATTAATTCTTTAAAATGTTTTGGTCTTGTTTATTTAAAAGGTTCTTGATAAAAACTGGAAATGAAATAACACAGCGTTTATGGCATCGGTCTAAAAAATTTTGTATAACCGTGAGATCGGACTCCGATGCCCCATAGACTGAAAGCGCATAGCTAAAATTAGGTAAAACAATAGATATAAAAAGGTGATCTATCTCTGCCTGAGAGTAGTGTTCCTTTCTTAGTGTTCGTAGGACACTAAGAGATTATTGAATTATGTCATGTAAAAAGTATGTCCATATTACGCCCATTTGGTAAATTTACACTGGTTACCAGTAAGATATAGAATTCATTTTAAAATTTTATTACTTACTTTCAATGCCCTCTATGACATGGCACCTAGTTACATCATTGGTTTAATTCATACTAAGACTACGACATGCTATTTGCTGCGCTCTAATGAAGGTGTTTTATGAAAGCATCCGTCAGGGAAAATGAAAAAGTCGTTTGGTGACAGATCCTTCGGTGTGGCTGCGCCCACTTTATGGAACGCTCTTCCTGTTAGCCTCCGCAGCATCAAATGTATTTCTACTTCTAAGTGTAATCTTAAAACTTATCTTTTTAGCTTTAAATATCTCTTAGATATTAAATATATTTGTTTATTTCTAATATTTGTATAGTTTTTAGGTTATTTGCTGTTGTAATGCGCTTTTGATCACCTAGCATGTTAAAAAGTGCACTATAAATGAATAAATTATTATTATTGTTATTGATGGTTTACTTGCTTGGAAATGAGGTTGATTGATGGTATATTTGTGTGGAGACGAGGCTGCTTGAGAAACAGTTACACTGGATTTATGGGTCTTTCTGCAGGAACCAAAATAATGTTAAAGTTCTCCTCAGGGCTTTATTTTTGGTTGTAATGTTTCTTCTATTATACGTAATCTGTGTGTTTTAGAACAAAAGACACACGGGAAAGCAAAAGAAAACTAAGATGGCCGCACACTGTCCCGTCCGAGTGCGGCCATCTTGGTTTCTGGACGTTCGGATCTAGCCTGCGAGCAAGCTCTCCTATTTGGGCGAGTAAAACGAGTCTGGCGAGAACGCGCGAGCGAGCGGCGAAGCCGCGAGAGGCTCGCTTCGCTTGCCCAAATAGGAGAGCTTGCTCGCAGGCTAGTTCGGATCGAGCTAGATTGTGTGGTTCCAGAAAATATCCATACCCCCCCACGGAAGGGATTGGATTTTCCAGGGGGGAGGGGGGGTCAATTTGCCTAATTTTCCAGTGGGGAGGGGGGATCAACATAGGGAAATATTTCCAGAGGGTTCTCGTGACGCGTAAGAGAGTGACAAAGACAAAACACAAAAATTCACCCCGACAATTTAAGATATAAAACACTACGAAAGTTAAAGAGCTACTAAACCTATGGATTAATGGACGTCTCGAACATATTTTGTCAGTCCCTCGGCGTGACCTCTCACGCGAAAACGTTCCTTACGGTGTGCCGTTTTCGAAAGGATTTGGTATCCGTTTGAACGGCTTGGGATATCCGTTCAAAAACAATTGTCATCCGTTCGAACGGCTTTGGCTATCTGTTCGGAAAAAATTGTCATCCGTTCGAACGGTTTGGGCTATCCGTTTGAAAAAAATTGTCATCCGTTCGAACGGCTTGGGATATCCGTTTGAAAAAATTGTTATCCGTTCAAACGGCTCGGGCTATCTGTTCGAAAAAGAATTTGTCGACCGCTCGAGCGACAGAAGCTATCTGTTCAAAGATAAATTTTAGCCGAGTTTCCATCCCAAAACCATTTCGTCGCTAGCCACTCGCGTTGAACGATCTGTTATTCTCCAGGGCCCGGTTGCATAAAACGCCCGTAACAGTTACGGGTATACGTACGTGTACTCGTAACTTAAGTGAGTTGCATTAAATCATTTGCGTGGTCCACTTAGGGGTTTCACTTAAGTGGCTGCACTTACGATTTTCGTAAGTATCCACTTAAGTGTCATTTATGCAACAGAAATTGCGGGTGTTGCATAAAACCTTTTTTACGGGAAAATTAGCACTTAAATTTACGGGACCTATGTGGGTCCCGTATCCTTACTGTTTTTACTAAAGTTAACGAGCTCTTTTACCGAGAAGTGAAAAAAAAATTGTTTTTTCTTTACGTAATTCCGTTCTAATGCGCTTTGTTAACCTCTGATGTACAATTTAAAGCCGTCGTTAAGAAAAAAGAAGAACAACAAACATTTCCAGTGGATATTGAAGTAAAATAACGATTTCATGTATACTTTATTTCAAGGAGAGGCTTAAAAAGGTGTTCGAAGCGACTTGACACTTTCTTTACACTCACCGATGGTTAACTTAATTTAAAAAAATAGAGTGAGTCAAATTAATAATTAAAAGTACTATAACAAAGTTACGTATGCCCTTAAGTGAGCCCGTAAGTTACCGCGTAAAACAGAAACTTACGAGAGTGCTAAGTGTGTTCCATGCAACACCCGTAAGTGTACCCATAACGGATTCTTAAGTGACCTACTTAAGAGGGCACTTAAGTGCAGGTTTTATGCAACCGGGCCCAGGGTGCGGTTGCATAAAACGTCCGTAACAACTACGGGTATACGTACGTGCACTCGTAACTTAAGTCAGTTGCATGAAATCACTTAAGTGGTCCACTTAGGGAATTCACTTGAGTGGTTGCACTTACGATTTTCGTAAGTGTTCACTTAAGTGTCGTTTATGCAACAGAAATTGCGGGTGTTGCATAAAACTTTTTACGGGAATAGCAGGTAAATTTACGGGACCTATGAGGTCCCGTATCGTCACTGTTTTTACTAAATTTAACGAGATCTTTTACTGAGAAGTGAAAAAAAGTATTTTTCTTCACGTTATTCGTTCTAATGCGGTTTGTTAACCTCTGATGTACACTTTTGTGAAAAAAGAAGAAGAACTATCATTTTCAGTAGATATTGAGGAAAAATAACGTTTGCATGCAAATTTCATTTTTTGAGAGGCTTAAAAGTGTTGGAAACGAGTTTTAACTTTCTTTACACTCACCGATGGTTAGCTTAAAAAAAAGAGTGAATCGTTAATAAAGAACTATATCAAGGTTACGTGTGCCCTAAGTGAGCCGTAAGTTACCAGGTAAAACAGAAACTTACGAGAGTGCTAAGTGTGTTCCATGCAACACCCGTAAGTGTACCCATAACGGATTCGTAAGTGACCTACTTAAGTTAGCACTTAAGTGCAGGTTTTATGCAACCGGGCCCAGGTCACGTACGTTACGAAGTATGTTTACAAACGCATCATATATGAAATAGTTACGGATCTCTGCTCCTTTGTAGCCATCTTCGCTTTCATATTATCAATCGATTATCGACATACGTTTTATTCAATACTTAAGTTTTTTTTTTCAACAAGTTTCCCGAAAATAATATTTTTTGTCTTTTACGCTTTTGTAGTTTATGTATCGGTCAAATCGAAGCTTCAACATGCCCCCCCGGGCAACCCCCCGGGCATTTGACTTTTTTGAAAAATTATTGTTCAAATTCCCCCCTATCAGGGCCAAAATGCCGTTCAAATGCCCCACACTAGGGTCCATTCAGGTGATCAAATGCCCCCACCCCGGGGACATTTCACAGGCACAAAAATGACAGAAGGACGGCCGAAACACCTTCAGTTGTTGAACAAAATCTTTATAAATATAACAAAAACTGAGAAACACTGTTAGCGTATTTACTATGAACAAAAGTCTCGTGCAAAGCGGTGGAAATCGCTGCTACAAGGTCACTGAATGCTCAGCTTTTCTTCGTCATGCAACATACAAAGCGTTCTATAAAAAAGATCCCACCTATTGAGATTACTACATCATGACCATTTCACTGACATGCATCATCGTTCACCTTATTGATTAACATACTTGCAGTAGGCAGGAGCCAAAGTAGTTGACCTGAGCTTTTTATCTTGTTGTTGTATTGAATCGCCGATATAGGTATTGTCGTTCATTGGAAACACAACAATAAAATACATTCATACATTCAAAGCCTGAATCCAATATTAAAAATTTTAAAATTTAAATACTTCAAATACGGCACAAAGCTTGTTTAAGCCCTTTCCTCGCAACCAATTGGCCACAAAGGCACAATCTTTTCCACGACAATCCTCTAACACCGCGTCCCCCATGAACGATTTTACATGAAATCGAAGGTGCAGTTCAAATTCCCCACCCCCTGGGAGACTCTGATAATCAAATTCCCTCCGCCCCGGGACGGCAAAGGTGTCAAATGCCCAGGGTATGCCCGGGGGCATGTTGAAGCTTCGATTTGACCGATACATTATGAGCCAGTGGAACGAAACTTCATTTTCCTTGCATGTCGAAAACACAAAACACGAAAAAAATTTTTTTCAATTGGTTGCATTTCTTCTTCTCTTAACTGTTTCTCTATCACAAAGAAGTTACACGAATCTTTTCCAGCACGTTAAACTTTGCGTGACAGTAATTTTACCGCAAACTCAAATATGCAAATTTCGTAGAACGAAATTCGATACTCACACTGTCTTATCGCGCCACGAGGTCCTGATCTCTTTAATTATACTTCTTCAAGTGATGCTTTCTTCTTGACGCAGTGCGAGAAAAGTACAGTTATGTTTCCTACGCGACCTTGCATTTCATTTGCAGAATTGTAGAATTCAATGGAAATTACATGAAACGCACAAAATTTGTCTGTGACTTGAGCGCATAAGGAGTTCGCATAAGGAATTCGCTTATCTGTTATACAATTCAACAGAAAATACACGAAACTCACAAAATTTGGCATCCTAGGGAACAAACCTACTTCTTTGTTCACTTCAATTAGAGATAGCAAAATTTCCAGGGGGTGTGCGAAAATTTTGGAAATTCCGGAGGGGAGGTGGGTAAATTTTGAGGGCGGATTTTGGAAAATCCAGAGGGAAGGGGGGTCATACGGCAAATCCCTCCCGTGGGGGGGCGGGGGTATGGATATTTTCTGGAACTACACATTGTCGATCTTTGTGCATATTCTTTTTGTTTGACTGGTTAAATTAATGAAAAAATATGTGAGGGACAAGCATGAGATCTAAACTGAGGTCAGAGCAGAAGGAAACTACTTCGTGCATCGCTTTGAGTTCGCAAGTGAAGTCAGTAGAACTGTAGAAGCTCAATATGCCGAATGGAAGAAAAAAAGGTACTGTAAGGTGAGTACTTACGACTGTATTTCAGTTTGGTCATTTTAATTACACAACACAACTTTTCTTGCTTTCTTTGATTTAAGCTTTAATGCATGCACGAACCTTGAGCGAATGGACATTATAAATTCCAAATCTGAGAGCTTTTCCTGTACAAATTTAACACACTTTCAAATCTAATAAATTCTCATCATTCTTTACCAGGTCTTCAATTGGGGTGGACAGACCTGCTTGAATAGGCTGCTTATGATAGGGTCATCCAGTGAAAGAACTTACTCCTACAGTGGGCTGGAGATTGAGCCACTTGAATTAGGAAAAACAGATAAGGATATAAATCCGGACTTTTACAGTAGCTTATAATCCAATAATTGTTTTAATATAATATTCATTCAAAATTATTTCCAAGTTTAAAACGTATGTAAGTTGCTGCCTCCATGTTCATAATATAATACATGGGTCCTAAATTTTGAAATTTTCTCAAAATTCAGGCTGTGCAAAATTTACAGGTTTTTTCACAGGGTGTTTTCTTGTGACAGGGTATTTCACATATTTTTCACAGTATTTTCACAGGTTTTCATCCAATATTGGAAATATCCCATCTTAGGCCATGAAAAACTCACTCCTGTGCATCAGAAATTGGGCCTCTGTGCCAAATAATTTATTTGAAGATTTACACAATATACTGGAACTTTCTAAATTATGTTATATATACAGTCAACTCTTTCATAAGGAACTTGAATTAGTGCATGGCATTAAGTGGTCGTATTAACAGAAGGTATCCACTCGTGGTTGAATTGTTTCACTGACATTGATATAAAGATAAATATCCTTCTCGTCTAAAAATTGCAAGTTCTCCTTAAAACTAAAATATTCTTTGTTTTTTTTTAAGCAATTAATATACAGTACACTTTTACTAGTAAATGTGTCACTTGTTAGAATTAAAATCGCCTGAGTGCAATTTTAACCAAACAAAACCTGGGAAAACTGTCAAGTAGTTTCGTGACATTTGAGCAATTATAATATTGTAGATTACAGAGCTGTATTTTGTCTAAAATTTTATAAAAGTATATACAATTTTATAAGTGTATGAACTATTGTGAATTTTGTTTTATAAAAACGTACAAAAAATTAAGTTTTATGAAATAAAATACAATTTTATAAAAGTGTGAAGTTTGTAAAAAATATTTCATAAAATCATGTAAAAATTAACAAAAATTTTATAACATTTTATAAAACAGCCGACTAGGGTAAGAATTTTTTCTGTGCTTTCAGGTGATCAATTTCTCTTTCTTCTTTAATTATGAGACGGTTTAAAAGAGAACACTCAAGTTTTCAATACTGTACTTTTATTTGCCAACATTATGATTTTTAATGCAATAACTGATTGAACATTTTCCATAGTCTGCTATCCCATGAAAGATTTCAGATCGATGATTGGCACACACCTGGTTCTACAGTGTAGAAGGGCCCAATGGTACTGTGCCTGGTGACTTACTTTTGGCTTTCAGTGCACAACAAGGAAGACTTAGTTTTTGCATAGTGTAAAATGCTGGCCACAATTTGATGCCATATCTCTCTCTCTGCTGGAAATTTCCCTGAGCCGAGCCAACAATTTCCTACCACATTGCCTTGCAGTCTATCATTGCAGTTTTGATTTCCGAAACTGATTCCAAACACAGGGCTTGAAATAATTTTGCGACTGGCACCAGTCAAGTTCCAGTTACACCTATTTTGCTTGGACACACCCCTTTGCCAGACAATTCCAAATAATTTATTATGACATACATGTATCTCTATAAATTTATACAAAATTTGGTTCATTAGAAGCCTAAAGGACCCAGACAAAGTGTCCGGTCGTCCAAGGATTTGACCGGTCAAAGCTTACTTTTGACCGGACATAATGTCCATTGACTGGCCGTTATTTCAGGCCCTGCCAACCAGTCGACGCAGTTTACAAAGAGTAGCCATATCTGATAGTGGCTAGTCAGGGGCTAGTACTGAGCAGATTCTGTGATTAGGCTGGTGAATTCTGTCCCTTGTTCATCGGGGCTGTTTTAACTTATTAATTATGGGTTCTTTTGACTTATTAATCATAGTAGTGGAGATGTTTCAGGCAAACACATCTTTACTTGCCTGAAGGGTAACCTGGAAATTTTTTTTTTTGCATTGAATGCTCAAAGTTGTTGGACTCCCTATAGTTAATTCAGTCCTCCGATTATTTTGACCCGCAAAAGAAAAAGGACACATTTATTTGTAATAATTATTAGTATACTTCAACAAAAATCTTGGGAAAAAGCCTTTTAATATTCAACATTTGTACATGTAAACTTCCGTAATATTGATTAGTTTAATTTTTCACCTGATATTATATTGTACCCGTCGCCGTAATTTTTATGCCATCTTCGAAAAATTGTAATTGAGGAGGCCTAATTAACATAAGCTCTATAGTTTCTTTTAGGCCTCCTCACCATCTCTTCCTACATTTTTTTTTCTTTTGGCATCTTTAAGTAATTATTGTAATTGTGTGGCAAATAAATAAAAATAAAATACCTAAATACTTGCTTAATATTACATGACCCTTTTACACCGCTGACCATACTGCTTGTCTCTGAAATCAAAATGGCAGCCCAGATACTGCGATCGAAGGTTTCAGATGTCTTGCAAGGCTTTCTTTAGTGGTAAATCACCTTAAACAACATTAAGATTGGGAAAATTTTTAATTAAAGTTAGAATTCATTGTTTATGTTACTTGAATTTAGCATTCTTTTACGATCGGAAGCGATTTGAGTTCAATTGTGCGAAATCGCAACATCGCGTAACAAAAAATGTACAAAAAAGCGTGATGTACGTTCAAAGTTGTTGTGTTGCTTTTTTAAACCTATTGCTCTTTTTGACGTTCACCCTAGTGTCACTTTTTAAAACTTGTTTCTAGATTAACGGGGTTACATTTAAAACGTCTGGGCAATTTCATTTACCTTTAAGCAACCCCCTTCCCTAAGGATTTCGTAAGCGAACACCCTTGAGACCGTCGGTATTACCAGCTTAGTAGAGGTACTACGTACGAACCTAGTTCGTGACTTGCACGGGTTTCTTGTAGCGTCGGAACAAGCGATTGGTTCGTGTCCTGTTATAAGAACATTTGAGTTTTCTAGCCTGCTCGAGTTATAACGTCTGTATGTAATTTTTACTTTCAGCTAATCCTTGCAATTGTGGTACGTGTGTTAATGTTCCTGGTTCATACCGATGCAACTGTGATCAGTGGACAACAGGTGTACATTGTGAGGTTGATATTGATGAATGCCAAAACCAGAGCCTTTGTAACAGGCACTTAAGGCAAGGTGTCTGCCATAACTACAATGTGGTGACAGATTACCCCGCGTGTGATGATCCTCTGCGGAGAGGTTTCTTGTGCTTTTGCAGAAATGGGTTCCAAGGTAAGTTTTACCCGTGTTTTGTGCGGTAGATCGGGGCGAAAAAAGTAAGACTTTCTACTCGCGCCATGCGCGAGGAATCGTGGGTCGCCCCAATAGAACATAACCAGACCCTCCTTTTCTCCACCAAGATTAGCTCCTACCACGCATGCGACCAAAATGTCGTTTTAGAAAAAGCGCTTGTCAGTGGTATGGATTAAGATCCCCTTTTTTTCTGTTTGGTGGAGAAACGTAGCACTTTCGATCCCTAAATTGAAACTCACTCACTTTTACGTGCATCAGCTATTTTGAATGCTTCAGTGTAACAGTATCGGCAATCTACTCTTTTAATTCTAGACTAAGGCTATGTTTTGTGCGAGATTGGGTATAGCTGCACATTAATGAAAATGAGAGCCGCTGCGCAAAGCTAGTTCGATCCTCATAACATAGATTCACTTTTTTGTCTTTCCCTCAGACATCTATTGTAAAATAAACAAATTTTTAAAGTACTATGAATATCAAATCACAAAACGTTGCTTTAATGGAGGGAAGACTCGAAGGTTTCAAAGCTTCTTGATGGTTTCTTAAAACAAGACGCTACGGAGCGTACACTTCGGCGTCGTGGTTGTGGAACTAATTAATTGTGGAGGAATAGTAAGAAATCAAATATGGTAAGATTAAGGTGTTAATTTGTGAAATTATGGGATTTGTCAGGATATTCTGAAAAGAGCAACATCCAAGAGGCCTACTTGCCAAAAACTAGCATTTCGGGACAAATTGTCTCCGAGATATTAGTCCAGTTATGCTCTGATGATTCCATATAAATCCTTCTAAAAAAAACAATTCTCTATTTTTCTTAGTCACATTAGGCTTCAAAAACAGCATAGCAGTCTCTTGTACTGATTAAAGATATGTAAGGCATGGGTAAGGAGTCAATTAGGTTGAGCATGGAATTGGCTAAAACTCAAAGTCACGAGTTTGAATGTTTTGAGGATAATTATTCACTGACTATCAGCACGCAGGGATGTCGGATTAACACAAGGAAGTTTAACACCAAAGGAACATAGCCTTTACAGAGCTTTAAAACACTGCATCCACCAACACAAACTTGACTTGAACTTTGAGTAAAACTAAACAGCCTCTACCAATAATAACAAACTCTCACTTGAACTTCAGATATCTTACAGCTCCCGCGAACTTGTAAACACAGAACCTGAAAATCGACCTTCGTCACACTTGACTAAACACAGCAGTCCAGCTCGTGGGAAAAAACTTAGTTCGTCAAAAAAACTCGCTTGGAACTTGTATACCGTTTGACGTAAGGTTCTAGAAAATACTAAAAAGGCGAATAGTAGTAGTTTTTCGACATATTTTATTATTTCAGGAACTGATGCAAATCTGCTGACTCATGCTGAAATGTAAACACGCCCTAATTAATTCACTTCGTGGATAATCCAAAAATGTGGAGAACGTTCGAGAAAGTCACGCAACGCATGAAAGCAATTTTACTACGTAACACTCAACAAAGACAAAATGTCTTTGTGCAGCATTTTGTAACTTTAAATTCATCATAAAACAGTTCGAAAGGAGGGCTCACTCGTGAAATATTTTTCAACACTCGAAGAGAAATTTCGTGTCTCTGCGCGGCCACGAAATATCCTCTATTTATTCCTCGAGTAATTAAAGACTAAACTCGAAGTGATCTCAAGATATCACGAAGTAGTACGATCTCATTTCGTGAAATAGTTGAAACAAGCCGAAAAGTCACGAACTTGCACGCCCAATCTTGTCCCGAAACTAGTGCATCATTTCATAACTATTTTTCATATCCCAAGCCACGTTCGGTCGCAGTTGCGCAATCGGCTAATCGCTCAACTTAGAGTCTCCTCTGATCTGACGGGTCACACAGGTGAGTCAGTTCAAACCCCGGGAAAGCCAAAATAATAATTCTTTCTTCCTCAGTTAAAGAATAAATCAAAGAAATCGAAGTGATCTCGAGATATCTCGAACTAATTCGGCTCTCACTTCGTCAAATAGCCCAATAGACGCGAAAACCTACAGACTTTGCTTGCCCAATCTTGTCAAAAAATGGCAACTTTGATACATTCCTGAGCGTCGCGAATCCTTTACTTTGCGCTCCGCCGAAGTAGTAATGAATCTCGTCAAATACCAGTTCGGGAGTATGCCAGTTTTGGAAGAAGCGAAAACAATGGTCTACGTCACCAACCATAACATGATCACCATGGCGATGGTCATTTTCAAAACATACAAAATGGCGGACAAGGGAGAGGAGAGGAGAGGGTATTGACCAAAATTCTCGTTTATTCTTGCTTTATCGAGCCTTTTATTTGTCTTTTCGTTACTATGAATTGGGAAGTACCTTGAGGACAGGGAGTAACCATTCTTGCGCTATAGTTCTTCGCTTATCACGCGCTTAGTAGGCACTGCGTACTCACTGCGTATGTAATCAGTACATCGAAAATAGGTAAGCACGCTAACAAGTTTGTGCCTATTTATTTCATTATTTTTTTATATCATAAGGAAAAAAGAACGCTTTGGAAACAACTAAGAAGTGAGTTGTTCTATAATTCATTTCCTTATGTTTGCTTCCACAGTAAGTGTTAATGTAATTTTTCCCGTTGCTTCTGTTTCTCTCCCGCGAGTGAGCGACTGGCCGGAGAAGACGGCTATAATTCAGGTTGTTTTGGTGCGAGCGAGTCATTTGTGAGTAAAATATCTGTTTTTTCGAATATGATGTTCTGTTGGTTTATGTCTTGAAGCGGTTCCGTCGAGGTATACAACAGGTTTACAAGGGATTTCGAGTGCTTCGTTTTCGAAACTACCATATCATCCCTGATCATTTTGTTCTTGTCCCGCTTCCAAAAAAACCTATTGCTTTCAATTATTCCACTTTCTGAAGTTCACTGATTATTGGGTCAAGCTTAACCAATGGAAGAGGCTCTTTAGAATTTAATAAACATATTGGAAAACTAAGAATTATGCTTGTTACATGTTTTTGGATCTATTGATTAAAATGGGACACTATAGTCTTGTAGTCCACCGGATTTGACCAGAGGTCAGAGATCAACAAGGTTATGGTTTGTTATAAAATATCCTCTTGTATGGGATTTGATGTTACATCCGAATAATACTAAATTATTGTTTTTAACTCTGGGGTTGCCTTTAAACCAAAGGCATTGTAACTTTGAGAAGCACTTTTCTCCAAGTCTTCTCTGTGGGGACCCTCAAACAATTCTATTAGACAAGTTTTGGCCCCAAATAATAATGATTACTTCACTTGGCAAGGACACAACATTAGTTTTCCAAAGTTCTTTTTCATAGCCGGTTCTTCATGTTTCTATTGAACAGCACTTTCAAGAAAACAAAGCTCACACATCAGAGTAAATTAAAGATACAATAAAAGTTATTTATTGTTACATTTTGTTTTTTGTAAATAAACATTTGATTTTAGGTCCTGACAGTTAATTCTTGCTGTATTACTGTTTTTGATTCTGACCTGCATGACTCGCTGCCATGGCTCTCTGGCTCGCATATTATACACACTCTTTTATCTCAAAATCTTGTTTTTTAACACCTTCGTGGACATGAAAACCAAAAACCAAAACTTATTTGATATAATAAAGACAGTAGAGGCTGCCATCGATTTTCAATAGTTATCTTGTGAGATGTCTCTCATGTATTATTTATTAGGGAGGATGATTTGTTGAAGACGATGCATTAACATAGATGCTTTTTCATCAAGAGGATCTCAATAATTTAGGATTTATTCAAATACACACATATTCGATATTATGAAATCAAATGTGGGCTTATTGCTCATGCACAAGGATTGATGGGGGAGAGTGTGGCATTTTTCATGTTTCAGATTGACCTTTTGCACAGCACAGGGACTGAACATACTATGTATTTGGCATCTGTAAAGTATAAACAATATTTCACGTGAGGGATTGAACATTATGTAGAGAAAATCTTCACAAGCCTCCACTTCCATGACTCCTTTCTCATCTATCTCCTTTAAAGCCCCTTGAATAAAGGCCACAGTGTCTTCTATGGTTGAATGGTCATTGAGTGTGAGCTTCCACTCACAAGGTATATAAGCCCCCCGTCCAACCTGTTTCCCTCTTCCCCATTTTTGAAAGGGTCAAAGGAGGGGCTTTTGTGGTGGGTAGGCCTGTGACCACGCTACAAAGAAACAAAAAAAACATGATTAATTTTATTGAGGTAGGGTTCAATTTGGACATTAAATTTTTCATTACAGTGACCTACAGTGGAACATAACGCGAACCTAAAGCAATATTTTGCCCTCAGAGCACAAATATGTCGTTCTGAAGATATTTAGCAGTTTTGTCTTCCCGGTTGCTTTTCCCAGCTTTTTGGCACAAACGCGACAACATGTTTGTAATATCTCCAGATGTTTGTGTACATTTTGGACTGACATCCTGATCAAAATAAAAGAAATCAATATAAGAACCTACTCACACCCATTTAAAACTCATTCCACACACATGATCTGGATCAATAAAGTGATTTCTAAATGAAAGTCGCATACATTGCCGGTGAACACAACGAAAAACAGACCTGATCGATTATAACTAAAACTACATAGACAGACTAAGGCATAACCATCAATATCAGTAACCCTTCCTGTCCGTTGGCAATTTTAAATGTGTGGTTGCCATTTTTACTAGGTTGTTGCCATCGATGAAACTTTGCCTGAACACACTTTACATGTTGTAGTTTTGAGGAAAATTAGTCTTGATTTCGTAAAAATTCGGCAAGATACTGAAAACTAAACATAAAGTCATGTACTTACATTCGATACCCGTCAAAATGGCGGCGGCGGCGGCGAAGGCCATTTGAAAACTGTCGCTTTTAACTACCGAAATGTGGCAGGAAACTTCCCTTGACTTTAAAAAAGCAAGGAGAAGGCTTCTTCATCGGTACTGCTAGCTCGGAAGTCCCAGATATTGAACGAGGAGACCTGGAACAGGCTTTGAAAAAAGCTCTCTTGTTTCTTGCGATTATTTTTTCCTATTTTTGCGTGTTTTTAGCAGAACAATGGAATCATGACGTCATCGCTTCTTCCAAAACTGGCATACTCCCGAACTGAATACCGCATAGCTAAGAAATGTCACGATTTTTATCATTGTTGTAGGTGGTTGCATCATCATTATTCACGAGGTTGTCACGTTGGATTCTAATTTAATGAAACAGTCTTTAACTCTGACGACTTAATTCTAAAAGTGTTATAAGTTATTGCTTCTTAAAAGATAAGAGCCTTTACTTAGGCACTAGTTACAAAACTAAAGATATCTTCATACGTTCAAGTTACTATCATTACTGTGGAAAGCCAGAATGAGATGTTGAATCACACAGTTTGCACGTGAAAGTGTTGGACTTTGCCCCTTTCGTGGTTCGTACGTGAGGGAAGTCGAGTTATCACACAGTAATCGAGTACACAGAATTATCAAAATAACTCATACACACAATTTGCACGTGAAGATGTTGGACTTTGGCCCTTTTACATTTTTTAAATTTTTTCCAACGATTTTCAGAAATCACCTAGGCTTCATTACAACATCTGCAATTAAATTATGCTTCATGCAACGTGATGGTTGATAGCCCAACATTTATTAACTTCCAAGAAAATTATCAAACTGCCGAAGTATATTTCTACTCATATCGTATTACTCCACTAAATAAAACAGTATCTAATTATTTGGGCGTGGCCCAAATAGAGTAATCGAAACGGCTTGTTTTGACGCAAAAGTGCAATAGGCACGCAATACGTTCTGACGTAAACAAGGCAAGTAAACAAGCGAAGCGAGATGCGAACGTCTTGTACAAGGTAAGAGGCGTGTGGGAAAGAAAGCTCTGTTAGCACGGCACCTTATCGCACTTTTACGATCTCAAAAGTTAATCTGAATCTTCAGTAATTTTACCTCATAGAAATTTGGAAGTCTGAAGTTCAGGGATGAAATCTATCAAAAATATTTGGAATATTAAGGTCGGGTTTTGCTCAAAATAACACCTTGAGCGATTTTGTTCTGAGATGTCGAGAGCGTAAGGAGATGTTGTGCAAAAAGTTTGTGACTTCAGCCTAGTAAGATTAAAAAAAGAGAACAAATACATTTACGAATTAGTGAATAAAGCGGAGATAAGATTTATGATTTAAACAATGTTTGTTGTCACGTTGACGGTTTTGTTAGGTAAACCATTGCAGTATGTACTCTGTTGGTGCAGGTCACTGGGCTTTTCAAAAACACGCGAACTCTGACTCTCAAAAGCCGCCTTCATAATTACGTTTTTCGCTGCCGTTAATCATCGTTACGATCCCAAGCAACGAACCTTGAAACACAGAAACTCACAAAACGGATCGAAATCCACCAGTCACAAATCACAAACCATGACCTTTTGAACCCGTTGAAGTAAACTTCTGTTCCTAAAGGCCGGTTTTCACTAGCGACGGAGTCGGAGTCGTAAGCGGAGTCGTAAGAGCGCTTATGACCTGGTGAAAATAAAAAATCGGAGTTGTAAGCGGAGTCATAAGCGCGACGGAATCGGAGTCAGAAGAATCAGAACAATTCCATTTTCTTCCGACTCCGCTTACGACTCCGTCGCTTACGTTCCGCTTATGATCTAGTGAAAACTAGATTGTCGGAGTCGGAAGCAGAAGCGGAAGGATAAGCCAATCAAAATGCACGTTCCCACGCTTTGTGATTGGTTTGGTTCTTCTGCTTCTGCTTCCGACTTCGACAATCTGTTTTTCACTAGATCATAAGCGGAACGTAAGCGACGGAGTCGTAAGCGGAATCGGAACGCTGTTTTCACCAGATTATAAGCTCGACGCTTCTGATTACGACTCCGACTCCGACTCCGTCGCTAGTGAAAACAAGCCTTAAGAGGTCCGCTAAGATGATTGGCGTCTGACAATTTTTTTTGACGAGGGGATCGAAATGCACCAATCAAAGAAAGACAATTTTAATTGCGTGTTTCCTAAGTGGTCATTTGAATATAATCCAGTGAGGGAAGATTTGAATTTCGTTTGACCCGAAATGTTTCAAAGCGGCAGGAAGAAGCAGTTTGGAGAAAATTTGGTGACTCTGTTACGAGGAGCGTTGTCAATATAATGTTGAAGTATGTTTTCATGCCTTAAACTTACAAATGCACATACTTTTCGCGGTAGGCTCAAACTAAAAAATGACTCTGAGCGATTTCGGAATGGGCTGGTCCACGAACTCAAAGAAAAACAAACGAAATTGTCAAGACATTCAATGACGTCAAATACTGCATAGACGTAATGACAAATCGGAATATCAGGAGTGTACGTCTAAAATGGATAAGACTTTGAAGAGAGGAATGTGTATCACGTTTGAGAGTCGAAAGATTTGTATAGCTGGTAATCAGTGTGACATTAGTGATTTGAATATTCACAACGCGGAAGACAAGAAGTTGCCTGTGTTCATATAAATGTGTTCCGATGAAGGACGAGACGATTGTCAACAATTGAAACCGAAAAGGAGTCACGTTTCTTTTGTAACTACTGTGGTAGCTGTAGCAATTCTTCTTATGCTTTCAATTTTGTTTAGCAGAGTGACTGTTAAAAGCAATTTTACTGTCACGCCAGTAAAATGTAGTTAATGGAACGTGATGCTGGTTATCAGTAACCCTTTAATGGCGGTTCTATTTCAATAAAGCAGTTGTGTAGTCAAGTTGCCAAGGTCAGCAAGCTCTAGCGTAGAACTTTACGGCCTTGTTGTCTTTAGCAGGCTAGTACGATTCAAAGCATTGGCCAATTTTTTCAAAGCACTATTCATGGCTAAGAGTTCGCACTTGCAACGCTGAGCTGTCTTGTAGTGCAGCCTTTCCTACTGGCTATGCCAGCAGACGTTCGTCTAGCTATAGAACAACTGTCCAGAGTTTACTTGAGTTCTGTTGTTGAGCAAGGTTAGCGTTCAGCATATAATTCTTGTAAAATTTTTAAAATGGCTCGCCCCCGTCGTACTATTACGCGCTCGAACCGTGCATCCAGCCGAGGCGAGCAGGATCTCTCAGTGTTATCCAGCGAAGTGCTCAAACTCCGTCTTCAAGCCCTGAACCTCCCTATTACGGGATCCAAAGGGCAGCTGCTAAATCGCCTGAAGCGGGCCTTGCCGGGAAAAGTGGCCACGTCGACCACAGCGCAACCAAAGCGAGTTTCCAAGGCTAAAGCTAAAAGGGGCGCCCTGCAACGAGAACAACCACGGTGACCGGGCGCTCGTCGGAAAACCTTCCAGCGAACCTCGACAACGTTAATAACGAAGACAACGCCCTGTCAGACCGTGCTTCGTTGTCCTCTATCGATGAAATGATCAAGTCGGATCCTGAGCCGGACGAGTCCAGTTTCCAAGAGAACACTGGCTTCAGCCAATCTCAGTGTGCAACCATCGAAGCCATCGTGACCGATTCAGTCCGCTCCGCAATAACAACGCTTCAAACTTCTCCAGCTGCTCATCTTCCGCATTGGCTATACAGGGCGGCGTTCAGGCCGGGTCTGCCCGAACCTCATTTCGGCAGCACAGCACTCTGACGTAGTTTCTTTGAATTTGCAAAAGGAAGTAGCCCTGGGAAGGGTAGCAGGTCCCTACCCCTCCCCACCCTTACCTAAGTTTCAATGTCATCCGGTAGGCGTTGTCCCCAAAAAACACTCACCAGAATGGCGCACTATTCACCACCTCTCCTTCCCCCAGGGTACTAGCATTAACGACCACATCCCTAAATACCCCTATTCTCGAAGTTATGTACGGGTAGACGATGTCATCTGTATCCTCCAGTCCCTGGGAAAGGGAGCTTTCTTGGCCATGACTGATCTCAAATCAGCCTTTCGTCTTATACCTATTCATCCTGACGATTGGAACTTACTGGGCATTTATTGGCAATCCCAATACTACGTAGACATATAGCTACCCTTCGGGCTCCGTTCGGTCCCGTTCCTCTTTGATTAGCTGTCTGACGGCCTCGAGTGGGTCCTTAAAAATAACTACGGCATCCAGCCTGTTATTCACATCCTGGACGATTTCTTATTGCTGAACGAAACAAATTAGACTGGTTAACCAGCTTTAGTATTCTGTTACGGGTATTCATGTCACTCTAGGCCCCGGTAGTCGCTTCTAAGACGATAGGTCCCTCCTGGGAGATTGAGTTCATGGGTATTATCTTAGACAGCGTCCGCATGGAGGCCCGCTTGCCCCAGGACAAACTGATCAGAATCAATCAGGTGCTCAACTCTTTCAAAAATCGTTGGTCAGCGCGCCTGGTCGAGTTACAATCACTGATCGGGACTCTCCAGTTTGCATGTAAAGTAGTGGTGCCGGGTAGAAACGTTCTACAGCGAGCGATTAATTTGACCAGTGGGGCCCCTAGTCGTTTTCACCACATAAGGCTTAATAAGGAATTCTTTAAGGACCTAGCCCTGTGGAAACTTTTTCTGTCCAAATGGAATGGGCGCTCCTTTTTTCTCAAGTCTACTCCTACCCCTGCTCAAAATCTCGAGCTATACACCGACGCTGCGGGCTCTATAGGCTTTGGGGGATACTTCCACGGAAAGTGGTTTCAGGGCCGTTGGCCTCGGCACATGCAGTTGAACCAACAACAGGGTATTAGCTTTGAATGGTAAGAGCTCTTTCCCATCGTTGTTGCCTGCGCCATATAGCACCGCCTTCTCGCCGGAAAACGCCTTCAATTCTGGTGCGACAATTTATCTGTGGTATCTATTATAAATTCAGGGCATTCTAAGAACCCCCGCATTATGGATTTGGTTAGACGTGTCGTGCTTCTTTGGATGAAGCACAACTTCGTAGTGCGAACTAGTCACGTTCCTGGGGTTTCAAACGAAATTGCTGACGCACTCTCCCGATTTCAGATGCAGCGCTTCCGGGCCCTTGCCACCGACGCCGACCAGAATCCTTGTACCATCCCGCCTTCGCTCATGACCCTCTGAGAGAGGAAGTCCTGCGGTACGCTACCTGAACAGGAGGGCATTTTGCATGTGCGCACGTGCGTGCATCCGCTGAACGAAGATAGCTTGGGCGCATCAAATCTGATGGCGGGAAATCGAAAACTCGCGTAAAGGTACGGTCCTTTTAAAAGCCATTTCGTTGGTGCTTTGAATACCGTACTTTCCTACAAAAAATTTTTTCACTTGTAGATTTTTCAGCAATAGGTTTTCTTGGCCCTTTAAAGACTTTCAAGACTCAACGCCAAAAAGTCATGTTCCTGCATAAGTCTGATTTTCACTGGCAAAGCAATGCATTTCCAAACTCGTGGTTTTACTTATCAAGGAGGAAATGCATCATAGCAATGCTCAGCTGCTTTAATACTAAAAGCGAAAAAAATTTAACACGCGCGGTTTATTTATTAGCGCGATGTCTATATATGCCACAAAAACATGAAATCCATGGGTTTTTTTTACAGTTTTTCGAAAGCTTATGCGGAAAATTTTATAAAAACATTTTTCAGGAAATGAAGAATGGATTGAGTTTGAAACAGCAACAATTACAAGTGATTATGTACTACATAATCATTTGAGCATTTCATAAGCTCAGTTGCAGACAAAACGAATGCACATACCCGTAAAAAACGAACAATACTCTTATTTTTCTTTAACTCTAAAAGAAACAGATTTTTCCCAAGCTAGTTTTTTGAAGTGACTCTTGAGTAACAGCTCCTGTGTTCCACAATCGATTTCTTGTTATTAATTCATATTTGATGACAGTAGTGATCCATTCAAAACAGAGAATGGCCATCACTTCATAAATCTAACCGACGATGTTGTTCTCCCTCAAAGCCTGTTTAAACATGAGACAGGAATTTTTCTAAAAGGGGTTCATATAATGCTGTTTCCTCAAAAAATAAATACTACTGCTAGAGGTCTCAAATGAGCTGGGATGTGACAACAAACATGACACAAATTGATGTATGAATTTGAGTGTTATTAAGGTTTCTGTTGGGAGCTTTTTACTGTATCCAGATGAACCCTTTATGAAAGTTGTACATCATGGAAGAATTATCAAGCAGAAACTGAGAATGTGGTTCAATACAGAGGAGAACCTGGTCTCATTCAACATCATTTGTGAATGAAATGTCTCACAAATTAGCATATCAAAAAATGTAGTATCCACAAAATGGTATCATTTAGGAATAAATGCAATTTTTTTGCAACATAAGCCAGGCTTTATTTAAAAGGTGTATTAATAACGTTTCATTTCGTTCTATTTTGGGGTTGGGGAGTTTGGCTGGATTTTCTTTAAAACGCCAAAATGTTATATTTATTTGCATAATGAAATGTAAACAAACAGTGTACTATCAAAATAAGGTGGAAAAAAAAATCAGAATTCAAACCGATTGCTGTAATTTTTTTTCCTTCCTATAACTAAATGATAGAATATTCTTATTTTCAAAACACAATCTTACTGGAATCATTATATTGACTTAAATTTATAGTTGAAGTGCGTGTATTTTATTTTTCAACGAAGACGTACCGGTGAAGAAAGCTAAAATTACTGCAGAAGGCGATTTTTCACAGCCTTCATCAAAGCGCCATTCATTCGCAGCAGTATTCGTAGTTTCATTAATCATTAACTTAATTTGGGAAGAAAGGCAATATTTCGCGATAAACAAGCCAGCGAAAGGGTGAAAAAAATTTTCACGGCAGAATGGACACTTAACCACTGTATTCCTGAAACGGTTAAGTTCGATTTTAGAGTTATACTATTGAGAAGAATTAAGCATCTATAGGATAATTGTTTAACGAAAAATTATCCCACTGACCTTTTCCTCCTCCTGAAAAAATGTGCACGAAATGTGAAATGTGAAATGTGATTTTACGAAAGGAAAGACTGTCCTCTCAAGAGCGACAGCGAGGCTACAATAAACTCACTTTGATAGTAGAAATACCACGATACCTGAAAGAACACGTTTGTGGAACGTAGCACCCAATACACGTCATTCAGCTCCAGCAAACAGCCTGCAAATGGTAGTACTGAACGTAAACAATTCACAGAAAATGCCTCTGTGGCACTTCAACTGCCCATATTGACGTAAACGCATACAAAATGCCCTCCTGTTCGCTACCTGGGGTCTGGCCTACAGCTCTGGGGAAAAACGGTTTTTACAATTTTGCCTAATGAATCGTATCTTAAGCTCAGAAGGAGATGTGTTACCTGCCTCTAAAGGGACACTGATGTACTTCGCTTCTTGCCTAGCTAGGACAGTACGGCACAGTACTATTAAACTCTATTTAGCCGCCGTTCGCAATCTTCACGTGACAGCAGGGTACCCTGATCCTCTTAAAGGCAAGCTCCTTCTCCGCAAGGTTTTGCGCGGCATTCTTCGCTATCAGGGCAACCAGCGCACCCGTCGCCTACCTGTAAGCCCTGAGGTTCTTGCAATTTGTCCCGTCTTACAGTCATGGCTTAGTCCCCGGGTTTTTTCTATGATCTGGGCCGCGTTTAACTTGGCCTTTTTCGCTTTCTTGCGCTGTAGCGAATTTACCTATAGCGGAGTGCGCAAATTTCGCCAACGATTCGATCTTTCTACCGATTGCATATCTTTTCACCCCAGCCTGGCACGTTCGCAGCGCATAACAGTATATCTAAAATCGTCTAAGACAGACATTGCAAGGTGAGGTCAGTCACTCACTAAAGCTCGCACCTTGTCGCCCCTTTGCGCCGTTGCAGCTATGCAAGAGTATTTTCTCTCAGCTAGGCCGCAGCATGGACTTTGTTTTATTTCAAATCATGTCGTTACCTCACCCGGGCATCGTATCCGACCTCCTTAGGGATAGTGTAGGGTCGCTGGCCTCCCTTATCAATGCCTAAAAGGGCATAGCTTTCGCATCGCTGCGGCCTCTGTTGCAGCCGCCGCCTGCTTGCCAGATTGGCTTATAAAAGTTCTTGGTCGCTGGTCCTCTGACTGTTACCAGCTGTATATCAGAACTCCTCAATCTACATTAGAGTCTGTAGCTCCCAGGATGGCTATTGTTCCTGGACGCTTCCAGCCAATGTAGCTTCCGTTTTTTCTACTTGTCTATTCGTTCTCTTGTTTGGGCTTGGGGGGATGCATGCATCAGTTGCTGTTAAGTCTGTGCAGCGACTTCCCCCAAGCTTGTTGGCCGCGTTGTCGTTTAATATCGCCTGCAAACCGATACTTTTGTCCGATCCAGCAGGTGCTGTATTGCATTCAGCTCGTAATGCTGGGGAGATAAGTGTGGTTCTTTGGTCACGCCATCGCCGGAAGTCGTAGAGGCTAACCTAGCACCAGGCAGTGCTCCCCGATTAACGCCAACTTGTCGTTATTTGTTTTATAATTTAGTTACTTCGCGTTTAACATGCATCGTAAAGGAACAGAGACATTAAAAGCAATTTTACTGTCAAGCCAGTAAAATGTAGTTAATGGAACGTGACGCTAGTTAGCCTGCGAAAACTTCCGTTTCTCCTAGCTCTTCGCCGCTGGGACGTTTCGCGCGGAGGAACGTCTGTGACTCAGCGACAGAAATTCCATACTGATGACGCAAATGAATGTTTACGTATTAATGAATCCGGTAGTCATGGGGTTCCAAATATAAATTTGTCCAGTTTTACGTGTCTTCTGGTCGAATTTGGTAAAGTGTTGTGTTCATCTGCCAACGAGCTCCAGCAAAACTTCAATACTTCTTCTAAAGAAGACTTTATTTCACAGAGATTCTTCGCGTTTTTATTTGATCTTTGTGGTCTTTTGTCTGTCGTTCGTAAACAATACCTAAAACAATGTAACTAATTTCTCTCGCTGAGTCGCAGACGTTCCTCCGCGCGAAACGTCCCCAGCGACGAAGAGTGAGGAGAAACGGATGTTTTCGCAGGCTAGACGCCGGTTATCAGTAACCCTTTTATGGCGGTTCTTTCTCAATAAAGCAGTTGTGTAGTCAAGTTGCCAAGGTCAGCAAGCTCAAAGATACATTGTATTCTAGCGTAGAACTTTACGGCCTTGTTGTCTTTAGCAGGCTTGTACGATCCATAACATTGGCCAATTTTTTGAAAGCACTATTCATGGCTAAGAGTTCGCATTGCAACGCTGAGCTGTCTTGTAGTACAGCCTTTCCTACTGGCTATACCAGCAGACGTTCGTCTAGCTCTAAAAGCCTAGAACAACTTTTCAGAGTTGACTTAGTTCTGTTGTTCAGCAACGTTAGCGAGAAGCATATTATTCTTGTAACATTTTTTTGTCCCTCCCTTTGGAGAAGGGGTTTGGACTTTGTTTTGTGCTATGCTATTAAATAAACTAGGGACACTCCTTGGCGGTGCGGTGAAGTCTGCGCAGCGACTTCCCCCAAGCTTGCTGGCTGCGTTGCCGTTTCACGTCGCCTGCAAACGGATACTCCCCCATTAACGCCAACTTGTCGTTATTTGTTTTATAATTTAGTTACTTCGCTTTTAACATGCATTCGAAAGGAACAGAGACATTAATGTACTTGTTTTTGTTTTGCGCGTTGTTTGTTTTGTAACGCGGTACATGTACGATGCTCGGCGTCGGGATTTTGTATTATCAGCAAGCTTTGTTTCAGAATTAAGAGTGTTTTGATGGCAGTGAGGTGACAGGAAAAGGTAATGACTCAATTGTACAGAAGCAATATTGTGTTGTAGAGGAAATAATAGAAGTTGAATTGAGATCTTATATATGAAAGAACTTACAATTCTGTTGGTTTGAATAGGGTTAGTCGTTTCTCCCGAAGCGGCCGTGCAAATAGCAGACTACCGATGAAGAAAATAAAATCTTTCTCACAGAAAACACGGAAAGTGAGAGTTTTTGTATGGAAGGGTATTCATTGTCGTGTAAAATTCATTGTTACGTTAAAAATACAAATGGTTTAGACTTTAACAGGTATAGAAGTAACCGTAACAGTGTCCGGAGGTTTTTACTTAAAGGGCAACTCCCAAATTAGTTCTTAAACGAGGAAAGGTGTATCTGTCGTCTATGAGATATCCAAATAGGGTTTTAGGTAAGTATTTGCTCCTCTGTACATGCAATTATCGTTTTATAGTGCTTACAAGAGTTTGAATCACCGGATTAATTTTGGCCAATTTAAGCATTGTACTGATATCGAGAAGAATCCAGGACCTTCAGTTTATGTAGATGCTACAAAAACAATTAATGCTCCATGTCAAAGAAACGTTGCAGTATTTGGGGAAAATGCTGGACAACAATGTGTTGCAATGAGTCTGCGCGCTTTAGTTTACAGTAAAATCACAGGCGGCCCAAGCTGAATATGAGAGTACGTGCAGTTGCGTAATTTTCAAAATGGCCGTCATTATAAAGGATTTGTTAGTCCGCCTGTCCTGTCCGGGCTGTAAGCACTGGTGTCCTACGTTGTAATTTGGCTGAAAGCGCGTCTGTGTTGAAGATATGCATTTCAAAACATTGTCATGAAATGACAGGATTTTTGTTGCGGGTTGGAACATACTGTATAAGCTGTGCGGTTCAGCAAAGAAGTAGAGTAAACGATTTATTTTCTCTAGTGGGATATGATGACAGTTGTTTAGCTACAATAAGGCATGTTAAAATTAACATGCGCGTAATACAACTACGCCCAAATATAGGCTCCCACAGCGTCTTGTTATTGTGTCAACGAACTTCTTCCAATTTTATTCCGTAACGCTACTGTTTCTACTAAAGTTACGCATCTTTACTAAATAAAATAAGTTTCAGTAACTATAATGACTCTTAAGCAGCAAGCTTCTTTGACGTTGTTCACCCAATTCATGTTTTTTTTCCTGATACGAAAAAGGTTTGTTGAACTTTGTAACCGAGAGAAAGAGCTTGTTTACTGGATTAACAATACTCGCCTTGCCTTTCAAACTTCTAAAACCACAATTTATAGGCCGCATACTCCAGAGTTAAAGTTTATATCTAAATTTCAATTATTGTTTCACTGGAGGAACTTTGAAATATATATGATCTTTTACACTCTACCTTGAAGCAGGTGAAACAGAACTCATACATTATGAAATAGGTGCGTTGTACCGTTCTGGTTAGCCCAATTAGGTCAGAAATGTCTTGAAGTAGCACCCACACTAAAATATGGACCCTTAAACAGCTCCATCACTGTACGCAACGTTTCAATCATCAAGATGTTTCAATATTATGCTTCTAAACACCTTTAGCCGTATAAAAGACGAAAAAATTGGGAAGAATCAACACTTGGTAATCTCAAACTGCCTTTGTTTGACCTTAAGCCGAGTGAATGTAATGTTAAATGCCAAAATCGCATGGGTTCCTGCGCGTCAACTCATAGTACCTTCAACCTTATTGGCTCCTGCAACAGAAATCCGAACACACAAAGATACATAGGCTCAAACCACTGACATATGAGCTATTTTTTCAAAATAGCTCAATAAAGCATTCTTGGCTTGAGACTGGCTGAAATTCTGTCTTGATGGACGTAATTCTTTCCGCCGTTCATTTTTGTGTTTTCTTTATTTAAAGGGGCATTGTAACAGGAGTTCTATCAACCTATTTTTTTAGACTGTGTTAAAATATGAATTTATCCTTGCCGATAGAAGAAATTGCCTTTGAGTCAACAAGAGAAAGACATTCATTTATTATTTAAGGTTGTAACGAAAAAAATTAATACTCTAATTTTTAGTATGTGACTTCGAGAGAATATAGAGAGCGTGTACTTTAGGGGAAATGTCCTGCTTTATGTCAGTAATCGTTTTCGTCTATTACAGGTCATAACTGCGAAATAAATACCGATGACTGCGCAAGTTCACCTTGTAAAAATGGCTCGACTTGCACCGATGGGATTTTTAACTACACTTGTAAATGTGCATCTGGTTGGACGGGAAGAAACTGCGACACTGACATAAATGAGTGTGAGCTGCATGTCTGTAAAAATAACGCAACTTGTTTAAACTTAAACGGAACATACAGCTGCAACTGTGTGCCTGGTTTTACAGACTTTAATTGTTCCACAGTGAGTATAAACGACTGCAAAAGTGACTCCTGTGTTGCAAATGCCACGTGCATCGATGGTGTTAATAACTTTACATGCCAGTGTCCAGCCGGGTTCCGTGGAGAGTTCTGTCATTTGGAAGTTAAAAAGTGCGATTCAGATCCTTGTAAGAACAATGGGACATGTGTTGAAGGGATTGATGGCTATAACTGCTCCTGTGTACCAGGATTTAACGGCACACATTGTGAGCATAATATAGACGACTGTCTGTCACATAACTGTAACAATGGAACATGCATCGATGGTATTGACTCATTTACGTGCAGCTGTACTTCAGGTTTCACTGGGAAATTTTGTGACTCTGACATCGACGAATGTGTTGGTGAGATAATAGGGACTTTAAGATCCTAGGACGCGACGGCAGCGAAAACTTCGCTTAAAATGTGGACTTGCGTTCTTTCAGTCTTCTTATTCCTATCCACATACTTTGTTAAATGTAGGTGAACCACCCCAGGAGTCGAAGTCGTAAGAACCACGTCCAAGTTCAGAAAGAGAAATAAAATTTCGTCGTCGCTTATTTACGTCCTCTATAAAACGCTAAATCAGGCATTTTCACGCCGTAGTCGTGCACAAACGGCAACAAAATGTGCAAAAAAAGCGTGATGCACCTGCAAAGTTGTTTTGCTTTTTTAAACCTATTGCTCTTTTTGACGTTCTCGTTGCCGTCGCGTCGTGGGATCTGAAAGTCCCTAGTGTCACTTTTTAAAAGTTGTTTCTAGATTAACGGGGTTACATTTGAAACGTCTAGGCGATTTCTTTTACATTTAAGCAACCTCCTTCCGTAGGGATTTCGAAAGCGAAAACCCTTGAGACTGTCGGTATTATCAGCTTAGTAGAGGTACTACGTACGAACCTAGTTCGTGACTTGCACTGCTTTCCTGTAGCGTCGGAACAAGCGATTGGCTCGTGTCCTGTTATAAGAACATTTGAGTTTTCCAGCCTGCTTGAGTTATAATGTTTGTATGTAATTTTTACTTTCAGCTAATCCTTGCAATTGTGGTACGTGTATTAATGTTCCTGGTTCATACCGATGCAACTGTGATCAGTGGACAACAGGTGTACATTGTGAGGTTGATATTGATGAATGCCAAAACCAGAGCCTTTGTAGCAGGCACTTAAGGCAAGGTGTCTGCCATAACTACAATGTGGTGACAGATTACCCCGTGTGTGATGATCCTCTGCGGAGAGGATTCGAGTGCTTTTGTAGAAATGGTTTCCTAGGTAATTTTTACCCATGTTTTGTGCGGTGGATCGGGGCGAAAAAAGTAAGACTTTATACTCGCGCCATGCGCGAGGAATCGTGGGTCGCTCCGAGAGAACGTAACCAGACCCTCCTTTTCTCCGCCACGATTAGCTCCTACCACGCATGCGACCAAAATGTCGTTTTAGAAAAAGCGCTTGTCAGTGGCATGGATTAAGACACCCTTTTTTTCTGTTTGGTGGAGAAACGTAGCACTTTCGATCCCTAAACTGAAACTCACTCACAAGTTTGCCTAATGCATTTTTGGCTTCAGACTGGCTGAAGGTTGTCATGATGAACGTAATTTTTGGCGCCATTCATTTTTGTATTTTCTTTATTTAAAGGGGCATTGTAACAGGAATTCTACCAAGACATTTTTTTAGACTGTGTTAAAATATGAACTGATGCTTGCCGATAGACGAAATTGCCTTCGAGTCAACAAGAGAAAGACATTCATTTATTATTTAAGGTTGTAACGAAAAAAATTAATACTCTAATTTTTAGTATGTGACTTCGAGAGAATATAGAGAGCGTGTACTTTAGGGGAAATGTCCTGCTTTATGTCAGTAATCGTTTTCGTCTATTACAGGTCACAACTGCGAAATAAATACCGATGACTGCGCAAGTTCACCTTGTAAAAATGGCTCGACTTGCACCGATGGGATTTTTAACTACACTTGTACATGTGCATCTGGTTGGACGGGAAGAAACTGCGACACTGACATAAATGAGTGTGAGCTGCATGTCTGTAAAAATAACGCAACTTGTTTAAACTTAAACGGAACATACAGCTGCAACTGTGTGCCTGGTTTTACAGACTTTAATTGTTCCACAGTGAATATAAACGACTGTAAAAGTGACTCCTGTGTTGCAAATGCCACGTGCATCGATGGTGCTAATAACTTTACATGCCAGTGTCCAGCCGGGTTCCGTGGAGAGTTCTGTCATTTGGAAATTAAAGAGTGCAATTCAAATCCTTGTAAGAACAATGGGACATGTGTTGAAGGGATTGATGGCTATAACTGCTCCTGTGTACTAGGATTTAACGGCACACATTGTGAGCATAATATAGACGACTGTCCGTCACATAACTGTAACAATGGAACATGCATGGATGGTATTGACTCATTTACGTGCACCTGTGCTTCAGGTTTCACTGGGAAATTTTGTGACTTTGACATCGACGAATGTGTTGGTGAGATAATAGGGACTTTAAGATCCTAGGACGCGACGGCAGCGAAAACGTCGCTTAAAAAGTGCACTTGCGTTCTTTCAGTCTTCATCGCGATTATTCCTATCCACATACTTTGTTAAATGTAGGTGAACCACCCCAGGAGTCGAATTCGTAAAAACCATGTCCAAATTCAGAAAGAGAAATAAAATTTCGTCGTCGCTTGTTTACGTCCTCCAATAAAACGCTAAATTAGGCATTTTCACGCCCTAGTCGAGCACAAACGGCAACAAAATGTACAAGAAAAAGCGTGATGCACGTGCAAAGTTGTTGTTTTGCTTTTTTAAACCTATTGCTCTTTTTGACGTTCTCGTTGCCGTCGCGTCGTCGAATCTGAAAGTCCCTAGTGTCACTTTTTAAAACTCGTTTCTTGATTAACGGGGTTACATTTGAAACGTCTAGGCAATTTCATTTACCTTTAAGCAACCCCCTTCCTTAAGGATTTGGTAAGCGAAAACCCTTGAGACCGTCGGTATGATCAGCCTACTAGAGGTACTACGTACCAACCTAGTTCGTGACCTGCACTGCCTTTTTTCAGCGTCGGAAGAAGCGATTGGTTCGTGTCCTGTTATGAGAGCATTTGAGTTTTCCAGCCTGCTTGAGTTATAACGTTTGTATGTAATTTTTACTGTCAGCTAATCCTTGCAATTGTGGTGCGTGTGCTAATGTTCCTGGTTCATACCGATGCAACTGTGATCAGTGGACAACGGGTGTACATTGTGAAGTAGATATTAATGAATGCCAAAACCAGAGCCTCTGTAACAAGCAGGCAGGTCAGGCTGTCTGCAAAAACTACAATGCAGTGTCAGAATACTCTTGTGACGATCCTCAGCGGAAAGGATACAGTTGTTTTCAAGGTAATTTAGCCTGCGTTGGAGGCGGTAGAGAGGTAGAGGTGAAAGGCATGGATCGGGTTCGGATCGGTCCGCACGAACGTGCCCGAATTCTCTCCCCCACCCTTAAAAGAATCCGTAATATAGTTTACGAAAAAGCTCCTTTCATTGTTATGGATTAAGGCGATCTCTACCCTGGCACATACAGGACATCACCTAAATTTTTTTAAGAACTTACATTTGTCACTTAGATTTCCAACAGCAAAAATTCAATTGCTGCACATTTAAAATTTGCAAATTGGATTTTAATTGGAAAATCGAAGTTGTTTAGTTTCAAAATTTGTAGTTCGGATTTTTACCGCAAAAATCTGAGTTGTGCATTTTAGAATTTGCAACTCGGGTTTTTAACGCAAAAGTCCGAGTTGTGTGCATTTCAAGATTTGCAATTCGGATTTTTTCCGCAAAAATCCTAGTTGTGTACAGTTTAGAATTTGCACCTCGGGGGTTTCTACCGCAAAAATCCGAGTTGTGCACATTGTTTAGAATTTTCAACTCGGATTTTTTCCACAAAAATCCGAATTGTGTACATTTCAAAATTTGCAACTCGGCTTTTACCGCAGGAATCCGAGTTGTGTACATTGTAGAATTTGCAACTCGGATTTTTATTGCAAAAATCCGAGTTCTTTTGTTTCAAAATTTGTAACTCGGATTTTAAAGGCAAAAATCCGAGTTCTTTGGGAACATTTTAGACACGTGGTTCATTTAGGATGGTCGGGTTAGTCGTCTACTACTGGAAGGTGATACCAATTGGTGCGACAAGGTAAGCTATTTTTTAATTCACAATAACTGTAATATAGTTTCACGTGAATTAATTCATAACAACTGTGATATAGCAAATATGAGTTACCCAAGTTCATGTTTCATGTGGAAGGAGCAAACGAATTGTGAAATTTGCGTCAACAAGCACGCTATAGATCCTCCTTCTGCTGATAGACTTTGTAGCGGAGCTTTGGTGCTTCGCGTGGGTTGGAGCCTCTATTGCTATAGGAAACCTATCGATACGCGAAAATTTGGTCTTGAGGTCAGCGTACAACGTACGCACGTACAAACTGTCGGGGAGGGGGAGGGTACACTTTATAAGGGAGGCGAAGGGAAATCAAAACACCCGGCTTGCGTTTGTCTTAAAGAAAAGTTAACTAGTGTAGAAGCCACTAATGGAGTTGTTCCAGTAAGGATTTTTTGTTTGACTGACGTCACAAAAGACTTTGGAAAATATATGTTGTGGTTCAATTTTATCCTTGGTTTAAATTATAGTTTCTTTTGTTTGGGTCTGGTAATGTATGATAATGAGCTTAAAAGAAAAAAATTAAACCAAGGATAAAAGTAGACCACAACATATACTTTGCAAGCGTTGCTTTCAGCTTGGTCACCCTTCTGGTAACACCCTAGGGCCAATTCAGTCTCAGATTAGTCAAAAGTTTGACAGGTGTAATCATGTGTGAAAGCCATGCAACATCTTGAAATTTGTTTGCCGACAACTGAAGCTTTGTGTGAAATTAAGTTTTTAATTAACTTTTCACGGTTGTCCTCCAATTCAAAGGCGACAGACGGCAAGTTGCTGTTACTCGGAATATTATGGCTAGTTTGCTCTCTCTCTCTCTCTCTCTCTCTCTCTCTCTCTATAATGGCCATAAATAGGCTCGGGAGCCACACAGGAAAGAAGAGACACACAAGTTCAGTGAGGTTAGCCGAATTTCATTTAAATCCTTTCACATTCGTAGGCTACAGGAACAATCGTTCTTGTCTATCACACAATTCCTTATATTTTGTACGTTACGTAACAGTGCCGATTGTTATATTTCTTAACATAGTAAAGTTTTTTTATGAGATATTGTGATATATAAATGTAAAGGCTGATCTATACGTAACTGTTCGTCCGGGCCCGATAAGAAAACATAAGCTAACGGCGAACACAAACGTCGGCCCGATTTTTCGGTAAGGTCTTTCCTTTAGACAGAAATATTGACCCTAAGCCGTAACCTTTAAATTGGCCGCCTCGGTATGGTGAATTTAGGGGGTGACCAACAACTTCGCAAAAGGGTGTGGTTCGGCGATGAAGTTTGGGCAAGAATTCTTTTTCAAGCCTACTAATGTGATCGAATTTGATTAATAATGTGTTTTTCTTTACTCTTTATGTTACTTTAGTTGTGCTTGCAGGATATATTTTATATCCCCCCAAGTCCCCTCCCTAAAATTAAGGTAAATAGAAGGTTTTTAAAATTAAGTAAAAATTTGAAGGTTTCTTTATCATGGCGTAAAGTTTAAAGGTTTAAGGTGATTCCTTCGTAAAAGAACCTAACATAGATTGCAGATGAAACTTAGTACACTAATGTAACAAGTCAAGAAGATGATAAAAAAGTGAGGGTCACCGTGCTGGTTTTGACGTCGCAATGCTGACAAATACCGCTATTTAAGGCCGTTTGACGAAAACCGCGTGCAGCCCAAAACTAGGCAAAAAGGAGAGATTTTTCCATGATGGATGAAGTATGGCACAGAATTTGACTTAAGTATATTGTTTATCTACTTACGTACCAGAAAAATGCCTTTTAATGCCCTTGTTTTTACTTTACGCTTCAAAGTAGAATTAAATTGGACACGCGCTATTCGACCCGTGATAGCTTAATTCGTACAATTTAATAGAATTGCCAAAAAACTGAACATAGATTTGTGCCAATGTTTTTCTCATCGAAAGGAAGCATTGTCCTTATTAAAATCATGAAATAAAAAATGGGAGTCACCATACTTGTTTTTGCGGTAGAGCTGCAGGAAGTGAGCACCAAATGCATTTTCTCCGATTTTTGAGAGAGGACTGGGGCGAGTTTCAAAATGGCATGTATAGTCGCATGCGTGTATGTGAAAGGGGGAAGAAAGTTTTAACACAATGTGATAAAGAGAGCGTTTAAATGATAATCAAAGTGAGTAAGCACAAGTTTAACATCCACTATCGAGGTTCTTCGTGAGGAAGTCGAACTCAGCAACTCGCGTACTGCTTCCCCTATGCACATCCCCAACACACTGAGTCTCACCTCGGCAAGAAACAACCGCATGCGAAAATTCCAATAGCGTTTCTCTCTAGTCAACTTCATTTTAATAATGTTACTTCAGATGCTCTTTTTTACGGCGGCCATCTTGTTATGCGCAGTAAGAGATGCGCAGTGTAAAACCAGTGAATCACCTTAAAGTTTATTGCTTTTATTATTTTCTTAGGTTTATTTGGTTTTCCAGACTGGCACTGACTGATCTCCGTCAAATTTACCTTGATTCAGCTTTATCGTGAAAGATGAAGAACTCCTCAAACAGTACTTCCATTTAAGCTTCGGTTATTGCGAAATCTGGTATTTCATGATCTCTGTCCATGAAATATATTTCAGGTAACCATGCATAATTTGGCCATTACACTAGTTACCTTAATGTAGTAGGCAAGGTATAATTTTCAAAATGTTTAGCTGTCCATGACTCAGTCAACTTGTATTTTTCAATCCATCCCTTAATAGCCTTTTAGACCTTGTTAATGTCATCGTTAATCTCTCTCTAAACGGCATTTCCTATCCCATAAATCAGTAATAACTCTTTACAATATTCCCTTTTTAATACGTCATATAAGACGAAGAATGATCGCTATGAACCTGTTTAGAAGGAAACATAAGAACTTTGCAAGAGAAGATATTGTAGCCGAGAAAATGAGCTTAGAGGTCGAATCCCCCATTCATGACCCTCTTCCCATGAAAATTATTTTCAATCTATTCCTGGTTCTGTGTCATACTGCGTGGTTATTTTGAGGACGCTACCATATCGGTCGTTTAGAGTGGCGCCGTGTTGTTTTAAACTGTAGGGGGGTTTACTTTCTCTTCCAATCCCGCACAGCAAGCGATACAACGTGTGAACTTGGTATTACTTTCGCGGACGGGACAAAAGGTTCCTAAGTGGAAAAATCTTGCCAGAGTAGCTGCCGACGAGCAAAAACGGTACTGGTTCGCGAGAATCGCCAGAGTAGGTGGTTCCGAATGGACGAAAATTGCTCATTGTGGTCTTCGAGACAGCCCGCACCGTTTGCAAGGTTGTCTGTGATTGGCTAATCGTATTTTTTAAGCATAGTTCTTTTTAACATAATATTTTCCTTTATTTTGAGTGAGTTGATATGGAACGATTTCTTTCCTTGCCGGAAATCGCAACTGAAATTGTCATAATGACAATTTCAGTTGCGATTCCCAGGATTGTACTGTATGCGAAAAAATGCAGGTAGAGTGTTCCTCACGTTGAGGAGAGAAAAAAAAATACCATCAAATTAAGAGTTTCTTTCTTTTCTTAGTGCTCGAGTGTCGAATCAAAAGAGAGCACATACTTTAGGATTGTAATTGTGTGACGCGGAATAACAAGGTACCCATTTAAAGTTTTTGGGTTTAACTGCTAAACCACTGTGGCTACAGTATAATCTATTTTGGTCGGGGTGGTCGATGGTGGTGGTGGTGGTTTTCACATTGGTCATGGTCGTCACAGTGGTCGTGGTGCGGTCGTCGCGGTGGTCGCAGTAGTCACGGTGGTCATGGTGGTCATTGTGATCGAGGCTATTTCTGTTGTGCATAGCTACCTATCATCTTGGTATAATCAGAGAGGACAGAACAGGCGTGGCAGCTGTGGTGTCGCAGCTCCAGTCCCCAGGCTGCCGAGAGTGATAAAATAGGGAATTTGTCAATTCGCCTTTCTGGTTCCAGCAAAATAGGATGGAGGCCGGCGCATCCCGTGAAGAATTGACCGCAATCGGAAACCGCGTCTCTGGCATCCAGGTTAGCGACTGTTTAACAGCTTGAGGCATCTGACCTGATTTGTGTTTGCTGTTTCTGAACGAGAAAGATTCCTTGCATAACCTGCGTAGCTGGCAGAATTCGTCCTCTCACGAATGAAT